CCCCCCCCCCCTATCACAGTAAATATACTACATACTACTGCTCATTCCGAAACGAGTCTTTGCCGCACGTTTGGGATCATCCAGAAAGTACGTCCGTCATTCGCCGTTCTGAAAGTGCCAAGATCAGCCCATGCAAGCTCTTTTAGCGCCTGCTAGGTATGCAACATCTTGCGTGCAGTGCATGCGTGTACTGCGGGGATGCCTATCCTGCGGCCCGAAGGCGTCGAACTCCCTGCAATTTTTCGAATGATCCGAGAAAACGGACGTACTTTCTGGACGACCCTTTTCCGGTTGATGACGGCGCCTCCTCTTCTCTTGCAGTGTTTTCCAAAGGGCAGTGCCAGACTGGGCGCTTCCGGTTCCTGGCCTGCCGCGGCGGCTACGTGTGGGTGGTGACCCAGGCCACGCTGCTCTACGGAGCCAAGGGCAACAAGCCGCAGTCCGTCGTCTGCGTGCATTTCGTCACCAGGTAGGACCTATCGTCGAAAGCGCGCTGGGCTCGCTGTGTCTGACGTGGTGATGGGTGTTGCCTTGTTTTCAGGACAGCTACAACATGTGCTTGCGGATCTTTCTTTTCTTTTATTTGTCGCATCTCCAATGTAGTTGTGTATTCATTTGTTAGTGACTTGCTGCGATGACGACTGACAACTGTACCCCTTATGTTCCTTTTGTGTTTTTAGTTGCCCCCTTGTTTCTTGTATTTTGCAGGTTTATTAATTTTGCTTCTTGATATCTTTATGTTCTTCCCTTTGTTTCATTTTATTTTTGCATTTCAGTTGCTCACTTTTCATGTTCATATTTTGTTTATTTCTATTAACAAAATTTCCCTGTTGTGACCATGTGTAGTATTAGTTTAGTTCAGTGACAATGTGTTTGCTTGTCGATACGCTGGCTAGAGGCATATGCATGAAACCTTTCCCGACTTGTTTCGTTTCCCTCCCGTCGCGAGCTATTGTTCCAAACCGTACATTTCAACCTACCCTTCTTCTTTGAAAAATCACTGTGTAACTTCTTTGTTACACTTGTTATTTTACTATCGGTTGCATATACTAGCATGGGGCTACAAGGCACCGCGGTCATGTGGGGCCAGAGGGACCGCCGCGTTTGCGCGCCGCGGGCCCCTGCGCAGTAGGCAGCCCAACTGGCGGGGGCGCGCGCGGCCGGGTCCCGCTGCCTACCCGAGCCTCGCGGACAAGGCGGCGGAAGCTGTGACAGCATTTGCACAGCTACTCTTCAGAGTTTGTGCATATTTCATCTGTCGACACTGAGCTTTCTCTGACTTAGGGTCAGGTCGGGTAATAAATGCACAAAAACAAATCTTTCTCGTTTAGAGCTATACTATGGTGCATGTGAAGTTCTCGCGTGTTCAGAAAGGTGAAGAAACAGTTAAAGCACAATTTGGAAGTGTAATATCGCCAAAAAAGTCTATACTTTAGCGACAATAAGGGAAAAACACTGTGCATTTTTTACCCTCCACGTGGCTAATAAATGCACAGCGGCGGGTAAAAGTTGCACATTCCTTTTTAGTGCACTTTTAACCCTCCAAAGAGTAAAATATGTACACGAGGCGATGACTGCTATGATTTTGGGCTTCTTTGATTTACTCCGACTTTCTCCAATTTTCTCCGATTTTTGTAAAAATCGGTAAGAATTGGTCGAAATCGGTAAAAATCCGTAAAATTCAGTAAAAATCGGCAAAAATCGGTAAAAATCCTTAAAAATCGGTAAGAATCCGTAA